CTATCCTATGTAAATATACTTTAATAGTCTCTTATGGAAAACATCTTACTATATTTAGGCATATAATGGATTTCCTAGAAGTTTAAAATCTTGTCATATTCAAGGTAATTGTATAATTAGTAGTTTTACACAGTACCTCCTAATAAACAAACCAAAGTTAGATAAAAATATAGAGAAAATAGAAATAGTTTCAATTTTCACTTAATCTAAATTACATACATTTTTTTAAAACTAGTATCTATGTGTATTTATTGTATTTGGCCGTGGATAATAGAAGTCTTTAGAAATCCAATCAATTTAAGATAAGCCCTAATCCACACCTGCTGTTCTTACAAGAAGAAGAAAATTTGGATAGAGACATAGATAGGGAAGAAGGCCATATGAAGATGTAGATAAAAATCGGAGTGCATCTATAAGCCAAGGAATGCCAGAGATTGTTGAAAACCACCAGAATCTAGAAAACGCATCAAATATTTCCTTCCATAGTGACTTTGGAGAGAGCATGGCCCTACTGAGATCTTTGAGACTTCTAGCCCCTAGAATTGCAATGGAATGAGTTTCTGTTGTTTTAAGACATCCAATTTGTGGAACATTGTTACAGCAGCTACAAAAAATAAAAAAAAATAAAGTAATATAGAGTATACAGATTGGTGATGAATGAGAAAATTGCTTATGGAGAAGAACCAGAGTGATACCCTGTAGTACAAGGCAGGAAAGCTGTTTATGTGAGTATAGACTATGGTGAGTAGCTTTGGTTGTAAGGATAACTGTCATTTGTGAGGTTTATCAGGAGGACCTTAAAAGCCTACAATATAGACCATGAAATATGTTTTAAAATCACTGATCTAGATTACCCTCATGTTTTAAGATGGAAAATCAAATAGTGTCATCTGACTGCTGTTTATCACCTAGGTACACCATGTCCCTTCATAACTACCTGTCTTTGTTCATTCTCATTTTGAATGCCCTTTACCTTATGTACTCACCCATAAAACTCATACTTCCAAATGTAATAAAATATTAACTTCTATCATACTTTTCCAGGTCCCCTCCTGATATAAATATATATGAATAATACTTCTATTTGTTCACTTTATTTGCCTAGAGAATACACTCACCATCTTCCATATGAACACATGTATTTCAACTAATTTTCAAGTTTTTTGAGACTAGAAACCATATCTTAAATATCCTGAATCTCCCAGAATCTAACAAAGTGCTTTGTACATAGGTTAAAATAATAGAATTCTGTTCAGGGTAAAATCAGAAGTCATCTAGACCAATTCCTTTAATCAACCTCAGGAAATATATCCCTATGTTCTTAAATGATTGACTAAGGTATGTTGAGTCAACCTAATATGTAGTGATATTTTCATTATACTGTGTTGTCTTCTGCATTTTGTAAATCATTCTTTGATAAGACTAGAATTTATATCATGTTTGATAAATTGAAATCATATTTTAGTAAAAAAAAAAAAAAAGTAGTCCAGAATTGATGTGAAAATAAAACATTCAACCATTTACAAAATTGGGTTGACTATTTTTCTTGGTATTCTCTTCCATTTGGTTTACTAATTTTCATCATTCGTGTCTGCTTATTATCACCTACATGTCAAGGCTAATGGAAAAGAAAACAAGTTTGGGCTGAATTTAAAATCTGTCATTTGCTTATTTCCTGGAAGCTTTAACCAGACATTAGGTAGGGATGTGAGTATTAATGACTGCAGTAAGATCAAGGGTTGAGAATTTCATTCATCCAAATTCTATTTCCCATTTCCAAGGATAACTGAGAGTTGAATGAATCATGAAATTATGTCCTCCCACTGGTATATCTAAAATGGTTCCAGTAGATGATGGAGTTAATATTCCGAAGCCATATCTATGTGCAGTTCCAGAATCAACCACTTTACAGCTAAAATGTGCTTTCTGGATCTTTTGAAGACTGAGTTTGAAACAATTGATAGGATATATCATGTATTCAAATCAGGTTGGTCATCAAAGTAACTAAGATAATAGTTTATTGAAAAATATCAACTGAGAATTGTTAAATAGATATGACTAGAGAGTTGTGTATTTTTCTGTTTTTGAAAGTAATGAAATAGCTTTTAAATACTTCTTGCATTTTAATCTAATACAATTTTTTATGCCTTCAGATTGCAAAGAACTTGTACAAATATTCAATTAATCCAAGTACAAATGAGGCTCAAAAATAAACAAAACACTTAAGACATTTAAATTTAAAACAAATTTGCCTAAATCTTAATCAATTTCTGGCATTTTCTATTATGTTTGGAAAAGGAAATCTGAGTTTGTCATATTAAACATAAACTGTTGATCATTAAATCATCTGATTTATATGGTATTTTTTCCAGTCTAATTAGAATGATGCTGCAGGATTCCTTTGAAAATGCTTATAGAGGTATTTTCTTATTTGATCTTCATGATAACTGACACTGTGAAGTAATTAAGGCATTTATTATTGTTGTTGTTATTGTTATTATTATCTTCATCTTAGATATGAGACATTTTTGGTTCATTTAATAATTTGTGAAAGCAAAGCATGAACCTGAAATATGTAACTCAAAAATTATGCCTTTTTTTTTTTTTTTTAACTGCCTATAGATAACTTGGTCAGTGATATGCTAAATGTTCTAAGACTTGGGTTCTAATTCTGGTTTAGTCAAAAATTAGAAGTCTGTCTGAAGAAATTTTATAAAATACTATAGGTGAGGATATAGTTCTTGCATGCATAGAATAGACTGACATCTTTTCTCACTTTCAAATTGTTCTATACATCTTCACATTTATAATTGCATGTGTAGGTATGTTTGTGTGTGCATATATATCAAATACTTGGAGATATTATTGCAATTCCAGGTTGAATAAAAATAAACATAGTTCTTTATGAATTCTCAAATCTATAATGTATTAATCAGTATTCTGAATTTTAAGCACCAGTTTACTTTTGCAATATTTACTTAATTGTATTTAAATGTGGATCCATTTTGTCAAAAAAGCCTTTTGGTATTTAGTGGAAGAAGTAATTTCCTCAATATATTTTGGAAAAAGCAGATAGAATATGTTCTAATTTTTAAGAATATAATAATAAATGTATGAATCTGTTTTTCAAATTAGCATTCCTTTTATTGTTTTTCTAGGGGGAAGGGAAGAATATCAAAGCATTGGAAATTATTGCTAATTTTTATTCAATTTTTTTGGGTCTGAAAATTAAAAAGGTTGAAAATTTTCTAAGAAGCTAATTAATTAAAGAGTCATTTTGGATGCTACTGCTGTCTCTGGATAAAAAGTATTCCAAAAAGAACATGGCTGAGGGCAAACATTATTCATTGATTTGTTTTATTCACTTGATTATGTTTTAAATAAGATGACATAAACTAGAGATACATTATTTTACATACCAATTTTCCACCTACTTGTCTGTTCTTAAAATGGCTTTTTAGCTTCTTAGGGCTTAGACATCAGTAAATGACTACTTTAGTAGTCATATTGCAGGCTATTTAGAAATATTAAACATAATTTATATAAAGTATATTATAAATTCTTTGGTTGCTTGATCCACTGATACATCATATCTACCTGTATTTCAGTTCCTCCCACAGTGTAGCTAATTTCTGAGGTGTTAGGAGAATTGAAAAGTCAAAAAGGGACACTGAAACAATTCAGAATTTAGTAATGGAAAAAAAAATCTTAACTATCCTATGGTTCAAAGTATAAAGAAAACAGATATTAACAGAGGCCAAGAACAGGGATTACTCTCACTGGCTACATTTTAACTCATGAAGGGCAGGCCTGCCTGAAGATTGATGCAGCTATGGAAGAGAGACAGCCATTACCACAGACAATCCTTGAAGCAAGAAAATAGAGATACTCTGGCTTCTGCTTGCTAGTCTCTAATCTCACTCTCATTGGTCAACACTATCTCAAATTCAGATTACAAAGAAAATTAATCTGCATAGAAATAATGAGAAATAGATTCTAAGCAAGGAGCCCACTGAAGAGATGTTGATATTTATATGGAAATTCTAGTTAAGAAAAAGAGTGACTGATCAAGACCAGTGTCTTATATTTAGAAGCATCAAGTAGAAGTTAAAGGTTTAAAAATACATACTTTAGGGGCATCTGGGTGGCTCAATCATTAAGCCTCCAATTTTGGACTTCAGCATAGGTCATGATCTTGTGGTTGTGGGATTAAGTCCCATGTTGGGCTCCATGCTGAACATGAAGCTTGCTTGGGATTCTGTGTTTCTCCCTCTCTCTCCCTCTCTCTCTTCCTCCTCTCTCTCTCCCTTTGTCTGTCTCTCTCAAAATAAATAAGTAAACATAAAAAAGAATCAATACTTTAAAAAATAATTATTTTATTAAAAATAATTTGATGGAAAACAGGTCAATGGATGAAAGAAGAATAGGGAGGAGGAGTAAGAGACAGAAAAAAAAGGCCCTATATAAAAGTTTTTCTTAAAAAAGCAATCTGACAGAAAATGAGCACACAAAGTTAAAAATATTGAAAGAGATCAAAGGAATAATATCCAACTTTTAAAAAATTGTATATAATGGAATTTAATGTATGTAAATTATATATTCATATATATGTCCATAAAAATGTTATCTATATTTATCTACCTATATACATGTATGTCTAGCTGTATATATACCTGTGTATATACATGTACACATATAATTATATATGAATTAAAATATTGTACACTTGTCTTTCTATATACCCATATATATTAACAAATAATAAATATATTATTTACATTGATAATATAAAATATATCTGTTTATACCAAATAGTATATAATAATAAATAATATATAATATACATAATCATACAATAGTTTATAATATACAAATATACAAAGTATATTTATATTTATATATTATATATAATTCATAGAGATGGCCAAATTTATTCTCTCACTATCTCTGGAAGTGTTATAAAATGTAATTTAATTTTTTATTTCTGTTTTATCTTTTAGGCGAGAAACAAGAGATCCCAAGAGCTAGAAGTTCATCCCATTCAAAAAGCACTTTGTCTGAATGTCAATACTGGGAAGAAAAGTAAGTGTTATTTTTAATGATCTTTGAGTGTGGAAATATCTGGTCCTTCATGAGAATCCTATCTTGTATTTTAGTAACCTTTCTGTTCAAAAAATCAATTTTCATATTCAATGTATTATGTGTTCACTCACTGTTTCAAGGACATTGAAAATGCTTATATATTTTTTCTACCAAAAAACTATTTCTAGAGTCAATCTCATCACCTCCAGTACTACCACCTAATCCAGTTTACCACCATGTCTTCCCATGAGCATTTCAATAGCTTTCTCACTAGTTGTTTATTTCCATTTATGCACAAATTCACTTTAATCTAGGCTCCACACCAAGATGTTTTATCCATCAAATATATATAATGTTATTTCTAAAGTCAGAATATTCCAATGTTTTAGCTCTTATAATAACAACTAAAACTCTTAAACCTAACCTAGAAGTTTCTTCATGACCACTCCTACTTCCCACCTCTTTGAGTAAATATCCTTTCACTCACACCAGGACTCACTATGGCCCAACCACATGCTACCTTGCTGGTTCTTAAACATGCCAACCAAATCTTTACTCAAGGTCTTTGCTTCCTCCATTCCCTCATGCTGAATACTTCCACTATATATAAAGCAATCACTTACTTTCTCACTTCCTTTAGATCACTTCTCAAATGAGATACTGTCAGAATAAATTCTGATTATAACTTTCTATACTCTATTGACTTACCTAGCTTTCTTCCTTTATCTTCAAGTTCACAGACACTTCCCTCTGTCATCCTCATTCTGTAATTGAGCTCATTTAAATTTTAAATTGTACTATTTTCATTTTCTTTTTCTTTTTATATTTTTATTTGCTAGAATAGTTGTCTTTCCATTTATTTCAAGAGGGATCACCCTGACTTAGTGAAGCATGCTTATAATATCTTCTTTAAATTCTTTGACAATTCCAACATCTGTATCATTTCAAGATTGGTGCATATTTTTGTATTTTCCTTTGAAAATTTGGATTTTCCAGATTTGTCCTATGATAAGCAACTTGTCCTAGCAAAATATCCTAGGCAAAATACCCTAGACATTTTGATATTTTTATTATCAAGACCAAGTGTTATTTAAATCTTAAGGAAATTGAGGTGTTTTGTTTTGCTTGGTTTTATTTTTTTAAATGTTTTATTTATTTCTGAGAGAGAGAGAGACAACATGAGCAGGGGAGGGTCAGAGAGAGAGGGAGTCACAGAATCTGAAATAGGCTCAGGCTCTGAGCTGGCTGTCAGCACAGAGTCTGACCTGGGGCTTAAACCCATGAACCATGAGATCATGGCCTGAGCCAAAGTTGGACGCTTAACCAATTGAGCCACCCAGGCGTTCCTGTTTTGTTTGGTTTTAACAGGCAATCAAGTCACCTTGATCATCTCATTGAAATAGATTTTTCCATTTTTATAAATTTCAATCTATCTTTTCTGGACAGTGGTTCCAATATTGGTTCAGTTCTCAAAGCTTTTACAGTGTTACTCACATATGTCTATGTGCATGTTAGTTACCAGTCTGGAACCTGGGCAGTGACATACTCTATAGTAGATTCCTAAGTAGGTGGTATACTATTCAGGATCAGATCTACAGATGTGCATCTTGCTAAGGTACTGATTTCCATACTTTTCCACACAATTCCTTTTACCATGACTATGTCTAGAACCAAGGTGTGAAAGGAGAGAAGGTGGGAATGGAGTAGGGTAGGGAGATATTTGGCCCACTCTCCTCTCTAGGAACCACAGTTCCACTGTCAGAGAAAAGTGTTTATCATCCTCAGAGTTTTAAATGTCAGCAGCTGCTTATGTCCACCCAACTGTCACTATTTCTGTGGTATTTCCTAAGAGCTTGTCTGGGAGTGACAAAAAAAAAAAAAAGAAAGAAAGAAAGAGAAGAAAAAAATACAATTGTGGTATTTCTATACTTTTTCTGATCCATAACACTCACTCCTCTTTTATAGTCTTTGGTCCAGACTTCTTTAAGGTCTCTTTCTGTGCACACCTGGTACACAATGTGTTTCAATCTGCCTCTGAGTTCAGACAGGTAAGAGTGGAGGAAAATGTAAAATCTGCACCAGTTTGGTGGAACTTTGAATCTGTCTCTTCTCTAATACACCTGCTCTTAGAGTTATCATAAGCTGCTTCAAGGATTATGCCCAGGAATTATAGTTGCTTTCAGTGAGAAAAACAGGGGAGAATTTGTCTATACTAAAATCCCTGGAATTGGAAATATTCACTCCACATTAGTATTTATTTGGTACTAAGACAGTTCCCTTTGTGATTTTATTTAGAAACTGCTGTTGAACTTGTAATGGCTAAACATACTTTTTTGAAACAGTCAGCTAAAGATTCCATACAGACAATTAGCAAATCAATATGTGATATCAGTGACTAATCTACAAATTGGTAGTAAGTCTAGATTTGAGGAATACCTGATAACAGCTTAACCTTTTGACTGCTCAGTCAGTGAAGACACAACTGGTGGCTTCTTCGCAAATACAACATTGAATTTCTTATTACTTAAGAACTACTCCTTTGGATGCATACAATGCCAAGCCTTCAAAAGAAAAGGGAAAATTAGTACAGGGACATTTAAACATGATTTAACCAGACCTTCAAATAACTCAATTGTTTTTCCCTCTCTTTTCACATTTCAGATATGTGGTAAATAACTAATAATTGGGTCTTAGAGATTTATTTGAAAATCAATACGTTTTAGGTCCTATCTTTGGGTCAGCAGGGACCAAAGCCAATATCCTGTACTCCTCTATAATTTCATCTTCATTCCTATGCAATGAGAATTGATGCTTAAAATGATGAGCCTGAGGCATTACATTTCCTGAATTATCACAGATTCAATTATCTTCAGACTCATGAACTTGCTAAGGTGGGCAAAAAGACTAATACATTTGAGAAGGATTTTAAAATAATAAGGATTGACCTTAAATGATTGGGGAGTTAATTCTTAGATTTCATAGACTTTTATTAACCATATTAACTGAATTTTTAAAGCATTACTGATCATCAAGATTTTTCCTACAGGTAGTCTTCTGGTTTGGAATTTGCTTTGAATATTGAGAAATACTTTTGAAGAGAAGGAATAAAAGTTTGTTCTTTTGTGATAGTAAGAAATTCCTATGTGGAAATTTTTTTGTTTCTTTTATTTATTTTGAAAGAGATAGAGTGAGAGGGGGAGAGAGTTAGAGAGAGAGAGGGAGAGAGAGAATCCCAAGCAGGCTCTGCACTGTCAGTTTGCAGGTTTTGAACTGATAAACTGAAAGATCATGACCTGAGCCAAAATCAAGAGTCAGAGGCTTAACCAACTAAACCACCCAGGCACCTCTATGGACATTTTCTATACCTATGGAAGAGTTCAATAGTTATTTTAATTGTCTTTAATTTAATTAGAAAGAATAGTGTAGCAACTATCAATTTGTCAAAATAACAATACCTGGAAATAAATATTATTATTTTTTATTATCACTGGAAATAAATATTATTATTTATTATTATCACTTTACTAAATAAATGCTATTTACTTCTTTATTCTTTCATATCTCAGCAGTTACCTATAAGTATAGGGATAGTTTTATATTAAGGATTGATAATTAATTAGAATTAGAATCAATTTCATTAAATTTTCCAAATACATATTTAGTTATGCAATTGTATTCCTTTCTTATCTGCATGGATATGCAAAATGAAGATTTCTGAAAATTGTCTATTTACAGAATGATATACTTTATTCCCGAAAGAGAACAAACATACATTATGCAATATGTAAATTGTAGCACAGCTTTTAAATATCAAATTCATAATTAGATATCCTGCTCAGCCAGACTTCATTAATCCTTAATCTTTTAACATACTGTGTACTTCTTGAACATAAACTATTTCTGGCACAAACTGTAAGGGAAGTCATACAGACATTTGTTGAAATAAAAACAAAACCTTACATGAATTATCTGAGAACATGTAAAAACAGAACAAACACATTTTTTAACCTCTGATTCTACTCTTTATTTTGTCAATCTTTTGTTTATTTTTCAAAGCACACAAGACTCAGACAGTCATAAAAGGCCTGACTGCACCCTTAAGTTGAGAATGGTTGAACCACTCAGGATGTTTCCACTAAATCAAGAATCAAAACATGCCATGTTTGAAAGAGAAAAATAGTCAGATTTTTCTCAAGAAAGATATTGATTTGTCTAACAGAAAATATCTGTATGTAAAGCATTTTAAACTTGATTTGACTAATTCTCCATTATGTAGTAGGCATTTAAATTATTTTCTTCCTCTATTGATTTTTTTTCTGTAACAGTAAAGTTAGAAAGTTCTTTTAAAAATGTGTAGAAGAAAGAAAGTAGAATTGTACTGGAAAACTTCAGTTTGTGTTTGAATAGCGTTTCCTCAGGGAAAGTTTCTGGAGAGAATCTCATGTAGAACAATGTGATACACAGAAGCAAATTTTATTTACCAATAAAATATAATTCCATAGAACAAGACCATGTAGCTGACCTAAAAGTAGAAGGAACTTAGTGGTTATCTGATGATATGGCATTATGTAGGACTCTGGGTGATTGTAAGAAATTCTAAAGATCACACCAGAAGGTGGTATAAAACTGGACATAATAACCATCACATCTGATTCAACGTATTTGGTTCTTTGTAATCTATCTGCTTTCTCTGAATTAGTAGTTTTATTTTTCTCAATTTAATCAAAATGCATTAGTTTTCTGTTTATTGCCCTTGCTGATATTCTGGAGTTTGGTTCTTGGTGGAGTTTTTTGTGTTTTTTGTTTTTGTTTTTATTTGTCTGCAATTTATCTTTTGATTTACTAATGTATTGATCCATTCAAGACCTATTTGAAGAGTGCATATTTTGTATCACATACTATTATCAGTGTATGTAAACAAACTAGTAAAGGATTCTTGCTCATGTGTTAGGAAATAAAGTAAAGTAAGATAATGGGGAATTGTCAGGATCAGAGGGAAA